ACATAATTAGGGTTGCCATATGCCCTCTTTTTCCAGGACGTGTCCTCTCCTCCAGGTCTGGCTGTCATATGTTCTCTTTTCCCCAGGCACGCCCTCTTTTTCAGGATTATAATTTCTGTCCTGGCAGATTTTTGAAATTTGGCAAAATTATTGGGGGGGGGTTGTCTGATTTTCTTGTTTACAGTAACCCAAGATAATTTTTCCAGTGCATTAGACTCAGACCTAAGGCACTGGGCTAAGCTGGTCTGCAGCAGAAAATCACAACAGAGCAGCATCTTAAACTAGCTACATAATGCATACCATAAATCCCTTCTCTGGTGGCTGAACTAAAAAGATGCTGGCTCAGCTACAAGATCTTAGAGAAGGAGCCTGGGAGGGCAAAAGTTAACATCCCCTGCCCTCAAGGAGAGTCTATATGTACATACTAAACAGTTTAATAAATTGATCTGTGCACACTTGTGTTCACAAAGATGTGAACATGAACCCAAATACTTTCATGTAAGTGAGGGAACAATACATATTATTATTATTTGCTGTTGAAAGTCCCCCCCCCCCAATAATTGGATGGTGTTTTCAAGCAAATGAGTCCCTGCAGAATAGATTAGTCCTGCCAAATTTCACAGGTTTTCTTCTTTTTTTGAGTAGGAAACTTATTTTGTTTCAACCCCCCCCCCAAAAAAAGGTCTAGGTCCCTCCCCCCATTTCCTGCCAGAATTGAATTTTGATTGCAGGTGTGGCTGTGCTTTCTGAGGGGATGAAATCTGCCAACTTTCAGAAAAATAAGTGCAGCAGTTCTCTAGCAAGGGCATTGTTTGCAGGTTTGGGGTGAGAAAATAGAAACTGTGTTCCTTTGCCTAGTTTTTTTTTTTTTTTATCTGTGTGGATATTCACTTTGAAAATGGGAGAATAAGGGAAGTACCCCGAGTATGAAACCTGCCAAATAGGTACAAGGCCTATTATGCCAGAAGACATCTGAAGGCAGCCCTGTTTAGGGAAGCTTTAAATGTTTAATAGGTTATTGTATTTTAGTGTTTTGTTGGAAGCCGTCCAGAGTGGCTGGGGAAACCCAGCCAGATGGGCGGGGTATAAATAATTTTATTATTATTATTTTAATTATTATTATTATTATTATAACTTTGCTAATATTATTTTTAAGTAGGCTAACCCTGCTGCTTTTGCTCTGCTCTGAGCCAATACCTAGACCCCACCCTGACCCTCTGAAGAGTCTTTGGTGAGCTGTGCAGGTGGGAAAAGGAAAGTTTGATTGCACAAGCTTCTTTCCACTTCCACACTGACTACAGCCCATCAGTGAAATGAGCTGAAGAACAATTTTTCACATAACGGTCAGTTAAGGCAGTGACCATATAGGCCATATAGCTGTGTGTGTCACAAAAGCAGAGGCTTTGTAGACTGAGAAATTGCCATTTTAAGCTTATGATTATTACTTAATTCCTGCATTTATACATGGCACATTTATAAATATGTTCTAGATTTCCATTTCATGTTTCTGCCAACTAAATTAACATTTAAAACAATGAGATAAGGTGGCATCGAACCAAGTTTTTGTTCGGAGTGGACGCATTGAAATGAAAGAGCATGACTAAGTCAGGTCCATTAATTCCAGTGTAACTTAGCTGAATACAATCTAATAGGCATGATATACATGGGTTGGTTGGGGGGTGGCAGGTGGGAAAGCAGGATATGGAAGCCCAGGTGCCAGTATTTACATAGATATCTTAATTGTTATAATATTCAGCTAGGTGCTGGGAAGAAGAGCCAAGGTGATCAAATCTAATTAGGAACAGTTGAGGGAGTTGGGTATGCTTAGCCAGGAAAAGAGGAGGCTAAAGGAGATATGCTAGCTGTCCTCAAATATCTAAAGGGCTGTCACAAGGAAGATGGAGCAAGCTTGTTTTCTCCTGCTCTGGAAGGTAGGACTCAAACCAATGGCTCCAAGTTACAAGGAAGGAGACTCCAACTAATCAGGAAGAACTTTCTGACGCTAAGAGCTGTTAGACATTGGAATGGTCTCCCTCGGGAGGTTGTGGACTCTCCTTCCTTGGAGGTTTGTAAGCAGAGATTGGGTGGCCATCTGTCATGGATGCTTTAGTTGTGGTTCCTGCATTGCAGCGGTTTGGGCTGGATGACTCTTGGGTTCACTTCCAACTCTACACTTCTGTAATTCAGCAGAGATAAACTAGGATCAAGGCTGAAAAATGGAAGCACATCATTTATCTAGTTCATTCTTGATATAAGTTTCCCATGTGCTTCACAATCTTGACCAATGATTTTTGTTTTTTTAAAAAATCTTAATCATAATTTAGTGAGCACTTTATCATGGTATAGATATTTGTTTCTTTAGGGAAATATTGGTTGCGAGTTTTAATACTACTTTCTTCAGCTTTAAGATGAGACAGTTTTTATCAGTTTTTTGGATCAAATAGTTAATCGCTGAATGCCACTTTCCTTGCAAATCGCTGATGGTTCCACAAATATAGTAATTACAGTGTTATAGGTACTGGAAACCAGGCCTTTATAGATATATAAAGTATGCAATATTGTTGCTGTATTCCCCCCCCCCATCAATTTTGTGGGAGAACAAGTACCCTGCTGTTGTGTAACTGGCATTTGTATTAAAATGTTTGATGAGACAGATTTGCAACCAATTTATTTTTATGGCAGGCAGTTGCATAGGTTCAACAGAAAATGTCAGGCCTCTTAATAAATAAAGGAAGAAATCTCTAATTTTATTTAAGTTTGGGCACCCCATTATTTAAATGGTTTTTTTTCCCTGTACTTGGTAGAAAAGAGGACAATAAAAATAAAAACTAGTAGCAAAAGTGGGGAAGCTAATTAAAATGCTCAGATATCTTCCGTACTGAAAAAGTGTTTTTGTCCAGATTTTGTATTGTGATTCTGCAGCAAGCGAGAGTGAAGAAGCTGTTTTGAAGGGAAGGGCATCTTAAGTATTTGAGGAGGTCATCAATGCCTACTAGTATTGCTGACCATTTGCGACCTCCAAGATCAGAGACAGCATGCTTCTGAATACTAGTTCCTGGGGAGCAACAGCAGAAGAGGGCTGTTTGTTATTCCCTGCTTGCCTAGAGAAGGCATCCCCAAACTCGGCCCTCCAGCTGTTTTGGGACTACAACTCCTATCATCCCTGCTGCTCCAGAGAGGCGGACACGGAGCAATGGATCCAAACTACAAGAAAGAAGATTCCACCTAAACATTAGGAAGAACTTCCTGACAGTAAGAGCTGTTTGACAGTGGGATTTTTTGCCAAGGAGTGTGGTGGAGTCTCCTTCTTTGGAGGTCTTTAAGCAGAGGCTTGACAACCATATGTCAGGAGTGCTCTGATGGTGTTTCCTGCTTGGCAGGGGGTTGGACTCGATGGCCCTTGTGGTCTATTCCAACTCTATGATTCTATGATCCCTAGCTAACAGGACCAGTGGTCAGGGATGATGGGAATTGTAGTCCCAAAACAGCTGGAGGGCCGATTTTGGAGATGCCTGTCCTAGAGGCATGTGATTGGCCACTATGGGAAACAAGATGCAAGGCAGGCTAGGGCTTTTTTCTCATCTGGTAGGGCTCCTTATCATTTTATGTTTGAGTTAGATAGTCCCATTTCTCTTCTCTTGACATCACTGTGCATTGTATTTTTTTAGAATCTGTTTTTGGCATTAGCCCCCCACCCCACCCCAGTGATAATGGTGTTGAAATTGAGAATGTCTGGGAAAGAAAGTTGCATTTGGGAAGTGCAATCATTTTCACTTGCAACAGGCATATATTCTTATTGCAAATATTGTATACGGTTAGGCACAACAGGTTGTATTCAACCAAGTCCTACTCTGAGTAGACTCACTGAAATTAATTAACCCATGGGTTTACTCTGTGTAAGGCTAGCTCTGAATACCACCCAATATTTACAGTATTATTCATTCCAGTTGAACTGCTCCATATTCTTTTAACAAGTTGAATTCTTTGACTGGGATCTGTTTACATAGTGTTTGCAAAGAAGCTAACTTGGATTGGTCATGCAAAGGCCTGACAATGAATGCAAATAAAAGATAGGAAATCAGGCAGCCCTTGTTTAGTAGGATGTACAATTTAAAGCTGTATGTACAGTAGTCATTGATGGTTGGTGCATTTGAGTAATTGCTTGCAGAAACGTTGGTCCTATATCCATTTTTTGGAGTGGGATAATTAATTAATCCCAATTTTTCAAAGGCCTTTTGAGCATCTAATGACAGAATGATCATAGGGGATTTGGTTACATTACTATCATTAATCACATGTGAAAGCCTGAAAACCAAATCTGTAAGCTTTCTATGTGGTACAAATACAATCTGGTGTATCCTAATTTCAGAGAATATCAGCGAACCTAGACAATTGGTAAAAGCTGCACTGGAAATCTTAGAAATGTGTTTTAATAAAGAATCAATGCAATCCCGGAGAAATGGAGTTTTTATTGGTTTGGCTGCAGTCCTAAAGCCACTTATTTAGAAGTAAGCTGCACTGAATTCAATCTGACTTGCTTCTGAGTAAACATGGTTGTTAGGATTGTGCTTATTACTGTGAGTTGTATCCGACAAAGCTACCTTATTTGTGCAAGAAAATCAACGTTTCCCCCCTCTCCACCCCACAACATGGCAAATCTGCTTTGTGAGTTCCCCTAACCCTCTGGAGAAGATTGGGGAGGGGGTCATGGAGTACGGGGAGAGGAAAGGGAGAATAAGTTCCAGTGTGCAAGCAGAAATCCTTGTGCAAACAAAACAACTTTATTGGATACAACCCACTGTGTGTAATTTGAACACGCGTATACCACAGGGTTATGTATACTGTTGAAAAGTAATCTTAGTTAATAGCCTAAAGGCCTTACATTGGATGTAGAACTTGGCTTCAAAAAAGTCTTCTAGGCTTTGGGCTGTATGATTAATTATTATTTTTAGCTTAGTAATTATTTGTTTGATTTCGTTTTCTGTTATTTCTTGATTTAGAAATTGCTGCTTTTTTTGCAAAGACTGAATCCAGATCCTATCCAGGTAAGTATCAATGTCTGTTTCTATGAGTCAGTCTGTGGCATATACAGTAGTCTGAAAATGAACCTCACACTTGCAGTCCTGCGGAAGGTCCCATTTAGGAGAACCTAAACACAATGTTTCAGTTCTATAGTCTCTTCCTCTCCTCCTCCTTCTCCCTTCCCATCCTGTCCCTTCCCAGTTCCAGTCCATATGCCATTACTGCATAGTCATTGCCCAGTACACAAGTTGTTGCTGCTGCCCACCAAATCCCCACCCCACTCATACCTGCAAATCAGAGTGGACCACAAAGGAAGAGAAAGCAGTAGTTAGGTCAGCTTCCCAGCTCCATGTTCAGGAAGATGCTGCAATTGATACAGTGCATTCAAAGCTAAGTGCAGCAAAGGTAATCTTCTGCCATCTCCTAAACTTGGAAAAAGGGAAGAAGATGGCTGCCAATTTCATATCCTTGCTCTGAAAGTTCTGCAGGCTGTCAGGGACAAGACTCTGGCCTTCCAGTGTAAGGTTCTGGCAAACAAAAAAATTGGCAGGTTTCAAGGCCAGCCAAAATATGTGCACCCCGGGGATATAATTGTGCACAGAATTAGATGCAGTCCTTATGGATGTCCTTGGTGTTGTATTGATATGTTGGTCTCATGTGTTGTTACTGATGTTGTGTTCCTACCTGACCAGTTGGTATTTTGAACAAGAAGTCAACCATTTAGAATTACAGTTTCTGAATTTGTAGTATGATTCGTTTACGTCCTCACCTTATGTTTCTTACCAATGTAAGAATGCATTCTAGTTTCAAGGGTTATTTAATTCTTTGGCTACCATATGGAATTGTATACCTTCATTTGCCACTATTCCCCCCCTCCCCCAAAGCATAGGCTTTATTCCGAAGCTGCTGGAGACTGGTTGTCCGTAAATCTGCATAGTGCCTGTCACTAGTAAATGGTCAGAATCGGTTATTGATTGAATGCTAGAATCAACAATTGTCTGGGACCAATTTGGTGAAGTTAAAAGAAAATATTTGTGAAACAATGTGTTGTGACAAGTTGGGTGAGGCAAGTAGCTTCTTCAATCAACATTGCAGATGTGCCAAATATCTATCAAGTCTTATTTACTGAAAATTGGTTGCAGGCACAGCATTTGTTTCTTAGAGAGTTATTGCTCCTTTCTAATTTGAGGTCCATACAATGTTGAGATCCCCTTCTAACAAAGTTACTTCTTCTTTGAATTGGCTCCATTGTTCAGAAACATTCTCCAACAAGGAAACTCAAGCTGTGTTTGGGCAATAAGTAGGTCTATGAGTAATCTGTTTTCCCTTTACAAACAATATAAGAATCTCTTGGGTCTCAGATAACTCCTAGCAATACAAAATCAAACTTTTTCTAGATAGTTAATGCTACCCTACAAGACATGGAAGAACCTGAAGCTGTATAATAAGCCCCAAACTAAGAATATTTTTAGAGTTTATTATTCTGGTTTCTTTATGTGCTTCTTAGAGATAACAAAGTCTAATTTTCATTGCTTAAAATTTTTGAGTTATTTGTTGTTGTTTTACTAGAGGTTGCCTGAATGAGGAAGCAGTTAATGAGTACAGTTCCAAGGCTGCAATTGCAACTTTATTTACCTGGGAGTAAGCCCCACTGAATTCTGTAGGCTTATTTCTGAATAGATGTGATTAGGGTTGTGATGCAAATCATCAAAGGGCAGAAAATCATTCTGTGAAGACCACACCAATATCTATGAGACCTCCCCTTTTCTATAGCTTAATAATGGAATGCAGGTGGCACTGTGGTCTAAACTACTGAGCCTCTTGGGCTTGATGATCAGAAGGTCGGCGGTTCAAATTCCCATGACAGGGTGAGCTCCCACTGCTGTGTCCCAGCTCCTGCCAACCTAGCAGTTCAAAAGCATACCAGTGCAAGTAGATGAATAGGTACCACTGTGATGGAAAGGTAAAGGGCGTTTCCGTGTGCTCTGGCACTCATCATGGTGTCCCATTGCGCCAGAAGCAGTTTAGTCATACTGGCCACATGGAAAGCTGTCTGTGGACAAACGCCGGCTCCCTCGGCCTGGAAGCAAGTTGAGCGCCGCACCCCATAGTCGCCTTTGACTGGACTTAACCATCCAGGGGTCCTTTACCTTTATACCTTAATAGCAATCAAATAGCAACAATGATCAAAACAAAATAAATTCATCTGTTAAGGCTCATAAGGAGATCCTAAATCTGAGCTTGAAAGATGCCTGTTCTCTTGAGAAAGTTACAAGAAGAGAGTGTCAAATTACATAGTCATGGTTATCCTCAAACCAAAACAAGATTATGAGTTGGTTTTTATGCCCCATGTTTGTCAGAGAAGGACTCTTTTTCAGATAAAAGTATAAGTACACATTACTGATTAGGTTTGATGGGGAGGGTCCAGTATGGTATGGATCTTTCAATATAAGATTTAGCGGCAGCTAAAAAAGCCAATGCAATTCTGGGCTGCATCAATAGGAGCATAGCATCTAGATCAAGGGAAGTAATAGTGCCACTGTATTCTGCTCTGGTCAGACCTCACCTGGAGTACTGTGTCCAGTTCTGGGCACCACAGTTCAAGAAGGACACTGACAAACTGGAACGTGTCCAGAGGAGGGCAACCAAAATGGTCAAAGGCCTGGAAATGATGCCTTATGAGGAACGGCTAAGGGAGCTGGGCATGTTTAGCCTGGAGAAGAGGAGGTTAAGGGGTGATATGATAGCCATGTTCAAATATATAAAAGGATGCCACATAGAGGAGGAAGAAAGGTTGTTTTCTGCTGCTCCAGAGAAGCGGACACGGAGCAATGGATCCAAACTACAAGAAAGAAGATTCCACCTAAACATTAGGAAGAACTTCCTGACAGTAAGAGCTGTTCGACAGTGGAATTTGCTGCCAAGGAGTGTGGTGGAGTCTCCTTCTTTGGAGGTCTTTAAGCAGAGGCTTGACAACCATATGTCAGGAGTGCTCTGATGGTGTTTCCTGCTTGGCAGGGGGTTGGACTCGATGGCCCTTGTGGTCTATTCCAACTCTATGATTCTATGATTCTAAGATTACATGTCGCTGCAGTGGGCTCCAGCATCCAGAGATTTTGAAAATGTTTTTGAAACCAATCAGAATTCTTCATTAACCAAGTGTTTTAAAAATGCACTGAAGTCCACATCACCAAAGATGATCAGCCTCAGTAATAGCTACATAGTTTGTTAGCAGACAAAGCAGAAGGAAGTGTCCATTTTTCTTTCCTAATGGACCCCTCCCTGTGCCCTTACTGGATTTCTAGGAAATTGTGATGCAGACATGCTTTGGATGAAAAGGGTGGTGTCTTGTAGTAAACCTTGGCTGTGTGACCAGCCTTCTGATTTCAGAACAATAATTCCTATTTACCTAACAACAATTCACCAATTTTCCTAAAGGTGCAAAGAGACTTGCCACAGCTGCAGTTAGAATGAAGGATGGACTGGCCATCTGCCTTGATGTAATTTCTTGGGGTGGTGGTGAGGAGAGAGACTCAGTGCTGGCACACATTAAAGCTGACCCAAAGCCATTCATTCTGAATCAATTAATAGGGTTTCTTCTACAGACATCTCTATTTTCTGGTTTGGGAAACTGACCTTTCCAAACAACTGGACACCCAGCTGATGGGAAGTAAATTAGCTCCCTGTGAGAAAGGATTGAAGGGTTTATGTTGAATTTGAAAACTTTAAGGATTTTGTTTGGTTAAAGCTTTAGAAGAAGGGTAGAGAATCCCATCCCCACGACCCCAGCCCCTTGGCTTATCATCCACTATCCAACACATAGCACAGAACCTCCACATTGTATGCAGTTCTAAACATAGTTTTTTCCCTAATAGTTGAATAGTTTGGTACTTTTTTTTGAGCCTAGAAATGCATCACAAAATTTGGAAGGTGAATCAGAAGCTTCTTCTTTGGCCATCACTCGTAGCCGAGTAAGATTGTCTTCCATAAACACTGTTTTAACAGAATCAGAAGACTAAGTAAGTTTGGATCTGTGCATTTATTCTGGGAGCTGCCAATAAGATCAGTTCCAAGCAGAATGATTCTCCATCACCTGCATGTGTGTGTATGAAACATTATAGGGTGCTTTCTTTGGTTCTGCATAAGAACATGAACAGAGCCTTGCTAGATCAGACAATGGCTCCATCTAGTCTAGGATTTTGCTTCCTACAGCATCAGTAACACTTAACCAGAAGCTTCTGAGAAGCTTACAAGCATGGCATAAAGGGCACCCCCTTTCTCCCAGCTGCTGGTAATTAGAGATAACCTGCACCTGAACATAGAGGTACTATTTTCTAGAATGCATCTTGCTCAGCAAGTGATTCTCCCCCCCCCCCGCCCTCCCAGTTCTTTCCTAGCCCTGTCTGTCACAACAGTATTATTCAACAGAGCTATTTAGCTACTTAGCTTGCAGTGTTCCCCTTGCAATGAAGAGAGTAGAAAGAGAATATCTGTACAGCTGAATTCATCTTCCTCACTTTCTCCCCTCACCCCCACTGTGTCATCTGATGGGGAAATAATTGTCATCTTCAATGTCACATTGAGTGGCATTCTCTCCAAAATAAGGAAATGAAAGTTTACTGTCAGAAGATATGAAGAAGTGCACTTACTCCCCTCAAATGAAAGCTATCATTAGCAGATAAGGAGCTCTGTTTTTCAACTCCGTCCTATTCACATGGAGTGCATACGGCTGACAAGAATGAGCAGTGACTTTGACCATATTCACAGCTGAGGAAGGGAAAGAAATTAAGTTCAGTTCAGTTTTAAAGGCGAACCAACTTAATGTGCACTTTCTGAAAACTGTATGTGAACTGAAACATTTGCATCTTTTGAAACTCACACTTCTGTGGATTTTGCAATCCAGCCAGGTATTACATGAAATTCAGAAACATAAAAATCTCATTTCAGTCAGTCTGCAATCTTAAAACAAATATCACGAACATTCATAATTCTAGTTTGAATTTATTCTAATATGCACATATTT